GGGATGTTAAAAACATAAGGCCCAACAAAGGTTATACTTGAAATCTGTTAATTTCAGATCTGATATTGTACAATTCGCCAAGATTTTGAACTTGTTTAAAACATTTAGTTTTTTAAAACCCATCCAAATTATGTTATACATATTATTTCAACACTACTAAACCAAAATTATCATGAAAAAGGGATAGGTGTAAAAAATATGAGAACCAACCAAGGTTATACTTGAAATGTGTTAATTGCAGACCTGATATTGTACAATTTTTCAAATTTTGAACTTGTGAAAATCCTAAAACCTTCTTAAAATCCATCTTAATTGTTTTTTACATCCTAGTTCCACACTACAAAACAATACATATCATCAAAGAGGGACTGATGTAAAGAATATAAGGCTTACCCAAGGTCTTACCTGAAATTCATAAATTCAGACCTGATATAGTACAATTCTTCAAATTTTGACTAGTTAAAATCCTTAAACCTTCTTAAAATCCATCTAAATTATATTTTAGTTTGTTACTAAAAAACCATAAATATCATCAAAGAGGGACAGATATAAAAAACATAAGGGTCATCCAAGGTCATACCTGAAATTCGTAAATTCAGACCTGATATTGTACAATTCTTCAAATTTTGGACTTATTTAAAACTTTAAACTTCCTTAAAACCCATTTTAATTATGTTTTACCTTTTAGTTCCACACTGCTAAACCATATATATCATCAAAAAGGGATGTTAAAAACATAAGGCCCAACAAAGGTTATACTTGAAATCTGTTAATTTCAGATCTGATATTGTACAATTCGCCAAGATTTTGAACTTGTTTAAAACATTTAGTTTTTTTAAAACCCATCCAAATTATGTTATATATATTATTTCAACACTACTAAACCAAAATTATCATGAAAAAGGGATAGGTGTAAAAAATATGAGAACCAACCAAGGTTATACTTGAAATGTGTTAATTGCAGACCTGATATTGTACAATTTTTCAAATTTTGAACTTGTGAAAATCCTAAAACCTTCTTAAAATCCATCTTAATTGTTTTTTACATCCTAGTTCCACACTACAAAACAATACATATCATCAAAGAGGGACTGATGTAAAGAATATAAGGCTTACCCAAGGTCTTACCTGAAATTCATAAATTCAGACCTGATATAGTACAATTCTTCAAATTTTGACTTGTTAAAATCCTTAAACCTTCTTAAAATCCATCTAAATTATATTTTAGTTTGTTACTAAAAAACCATAAATATCATCAAAGAGGGACAGATATAAAAAACATAAGGGTCATCCAAGGTCATACCTGAAATTCGTAAATTCAGACCTGATATTGTACAATTCTTCAAATTTTGGACTTATTTAAAACTTTAAACTTCCTTAAAACCCATTTTAATTATTTTTTACATCTTAGTTCTACACTTTAAAACCATATTTAACATCAAAGAGGGATGGATCTAGAAACTATAAGCGTCAGCTATAGTCATACACAAAATCACCCATCTCGAAAATGTCAAAATTTTCAAAAATCAAAAAAAATTTTCTTGGCTCCTACTGATTCAATTACTTTGAACCTTTCAAGGCTCATAGGCCTGCTACTGGGCACTTCACATGAATTTTTCCAATGTCTTCCAGTGTCTAAATGAAAAGTGAGGCTCTAAATAGTAAGAAATGGATCACGAATTTGCCCCCTAGGGTACACACTTTGTACTATTATTCAAATTCTGTAGGAGTGATTGGCATTATTTATTTTTCAAATGATTCATATATATAATGTCTATGTATGTAACTTACAAACATCAAGATATCTAAAGTTATTGAGAATGAAAAAAATATTTTTACTGAGGTGGGGTGTTTTTGGGGGGTGGGGGGCTAACCCCTGAAAAACTAGATAACGGCAACTCCGCGGAGAAGCAAATCCCAACGAACAAAATATCAATTACCGAATTCCAATCAATTATACTCATTACTTTGGTTAAAATTGAAAAATTTAGATTTAAGAATTGCGAATTCCTGCAAAGCAGCCATTTTGAATTTTATGAGGCTCGAATCAGAAAAAAGATACAATATTTGCAATCTACTCTTAATTGCCTTTCATTTGAGTATAATAAAGCTATACTTCAGAAACATCTAAAAATTAGCGAAAATTTTTGTTTTCCTGACCCCCCATACACAGCCCCTGGGGGTCAGGATGAAAAACAGGGAATATATGTGAAATAGATGGGTGCACCCCAGTTGTCCGAAACCCAGTTGTCCGAAACCCAGTTGTCCGAAACCCAGTTGTCCGAAACCCAGTTTTCCGAAACCCAGTTCTCCGAAACCCAGTTGTCCGAAAAATTTAGTCATAATTTACCAGATAAAGGGGGACGCACTTCAAGCCAGTTTCATGTTATGTATTTGGCAAAATTAATGGCATGGACGCATTCTGATGTATAGATCTCTCTCTCACTTTGAATTGCATACATTACACCACAACATTACCAGAATGACAGGAACGGGGGATTTATTTTACATTGTGATTCTAAAAAAGGTCATCAAAACACAATATATATTACGGAACAGTTGATCTTATCTTATTCAATATATTTTATATAGGCAAAATAAAATGAAACATTTTGAAACCGATAAAATAAGTTAACGCATAAAACTTTAAGAATAAACAGTACACATATTACGTTGTCAAAATGTTTCGTCGCATTTAATTTCTTAGTCTCTGTCTATTATCAAATCGTAAAATGTAAAAGAACAAAACATTCTAAACGTAATCACTTGGGATTAACTGGAAACGAAGACAGGCTGTCCTCGTATCAAATTGGATGTTCTCCCATTCGCAAGAAGTTTTATTTTCGCCATGTACTCACTTCATCTTTTTGAATTTAATCTCTATTTCTCGAACAGAGTACCTAAATGAAGAATAATTTTTGGTTTCAAAAGATGTACACGTCAACTTTACTAAATAAATGCCCACTGGCTTGGGAAAGCTATTTTCCCTTTTATGAACGCCCATCACCCATTGGAAAAATATTGTTCCCTCTCTAAAAGCCCCATGGGGCATAAAGAAAATTGGTTTAAAAATTGTAGACCCCTATGTATGTTAATATGCAAACGCCACTTGTGACTGCAAATGTGACTGCAAAAGTATGAGAGCGCAGAAATTCTACGGCGAGCGTGACAGCGCTGTCACACTGGTCGTGTCCCGTCCCGTCTCTCAACGTACAAAGCATTCAGGCCAGAATTTAAGGAATAAGCTATAGTGAGCTGTTTCAGAACGCCGTCTGAAACGCGTTCTGATTCTGAACCCACTGTATTCATTGGACGGTGGGAGGTCGTCCATGCTTACACTTTCAGTATCCAGGGGCGGATCTGGGAACCAATAAGGGCGGGGGGGGCCCAAGATTCAGGTCAGAGAAAAAAATTTTGGGCCCCTAAAACCCAAAAGTGGTATGCTGTCCTGATTCGCGAGGTTGCGACAAGATACTAAGAAATTTAATTTTTTAATTTTCGGAGAACTGGGTTTCGGAGAACTGGGTTTCGGAGAACTGGGTTTCGGACAACTGGGTTGACCCCGAAATAGATAGATGTTGCGAATATACTACCAAAATTTCAAACAATAATATTAATTACTTTGGTTTAGAATGAAAAATTTATGATTTTTGCGAAAAAGTCCAGTCATTTTCAAAGCGGCGGCCATCTTGAAAATTTTTTTTTGCTATTCATCAATATACATCTTTCCACCAAATATGAAGAAAATCTGTCAACTAGTATTTGAGTTATCTTCCGGACGGACGGACAGACGGACTGACTGACTGACGGACTGACGGACTGACAGACTGACGGACGGACGGAGGGAGGGCTTCACTATATCCCTACCGAACTTCGTTCGTTGGGATAAAAAGAATTATGTACCACTCTGTGAAGCTATCACCTAGGTAGAATTTTCATCCAAGACTTCCCCCTAACTGAAAATGCTGCCAAACCAACTATACTCCATTTATTAAGAATTTTCCTCCTCACTCTTAGAGTAAAATATATTCTTAGTGTTAAGAAAACAACTCCAAACTATATGGTTTATGGGGAACTTGGCAGATTATCTTGAAATGTATTTTCCTCGAATTGGTTTACCTATGTGAAAAACACATTCAACAATCTTGGCATTTCAAATGTTTGGATAAATCCAAAGTCAGTTAGTTATGCAGAGTTTATCAAAAAAGTAAAACTAAGGATGTCATTTATGGTAAAGGAATAGGTGATGAATTTCATGTCATTTTAGAATGAAAAAGCTTGAAGTTCTGTACTCCGGGTAATGTTCGCGTGCGATTTAATTTCGCTTTGTTCGCGAATGTAGTACAATCGCGAACATTTATCGTCGCAATATTTGTCTTAAATCCCCGGGGATTTGACCCGGGCCTTTTGATATGTTTCGTTCGGTGTGAAACGTTTCTTCCAGTGTTGTTGGGCGAAGGCCTAAAAACATTTTTGAATTGGCTTAATTATTAGGCCAACAAAGGCAAGAACTGTTGACGACAATGATATCCTACAAATTGAAGTTGAAAAAGCCATTCAAGAATATTCAAATAAATTCCCTAAACATGGGAAATACAAACATTATTCGGATTCTGAACGGGCTAAAATAGCCCGCATTGATTCACGGTAATCGGAAAAAATTCAACTTGTGCAATCTGCTAAGTGTCATCAACTCAAATCCGCGAAATTAAATAGCCTCGAAATCGCAACTTTGAAAAATCGCGAAATTTTATAGCGTCGAAATTTACCCGGAGTACATTATTAGAAAAAGGTATCTTCCTAAATGTTATTCCACAAGTCAAACCACACAGAAGTTTGAGAAATTAATGAATTCAAACAAAAATATACGAATAAAACTTTGTAAATTTTTAATCGAGGCTGGGCAAAAAAATGTACATTTATAATGTTATTTTAATCTTTTGTACTCTTATACCCTATAAAGGGTGAATTGAGAAATCAATAAATAAATAAATACATACTTGGTATAAGAGAGAGGGCAACATTTATTGAGGCTCCAGAACTGAGTGCTTTTGGAGACCAGGATCCAGTCAGCTTGGTTCCATCTGCAGAAGAAATTGCTTTGTTAACATTTTAATCAATTTTGCCTACATATAGTTCCTACACATACAGGTGTATGCTTCATACAATTGAGCTGCTCATAGAATAGTAGGTAATTATCTGGTAGTCAGCTGCTGAAAGTTGCATTCGTGAATACAAGCTTAGTCTATGAATTGTAAACTTGAGTTGATTTTGGTATTCAATTTTAATGATGTTTCAGATTAACTAAGTGTGCATTTCCTAGAAGTATTTTCTCCAAGCGCCAGGTTCAACTTACATATATCACCGTCAGTTGTATGAAATAATGAACAGACCTGTAAGCCTGACGAAGAGGAGGGAAAGCCCCAGCGCTTTAGCGATGACAGACATATTACGTCTCTTGTGTACCGTTTGCGCAAATTCTTACCAGATAGTTTTCAAATGTACATCGTTGTGATCGTTTAATCAATCTAAGCATATTATTTACATCTTTCTTTATTTTGATGTTAAATAACAAGCTATACCCTGTATATGGTATTGGTTAACACGCCAGAAATTAATATAAAATTATTCAAAGCGTTATAAGAAAATTTTGAATCAGCCATTTTTGTATGTTGATTTTGACCAATCAGAGACATGGGTTATCTCAATACAGGTTTACATTACATGTATAAGCGAATTACATTTTTTATGTTAATCCCCCCTGAGACTGATGGGAGTCTTGATTCACGTTACTTGTCATGTGACTTGGTACACTGGCTCTCGATCAAAATGGTGGTCAGCAAATGGTACAAATGTAATTCTTGATGAAGTTATGGAAAGCTTGAGTAGTTTTTATATGCTCTAAAATTAACTAAAAATACCTGTTTCTGTGGTCCGCAATTATTATTTAAAATGAAATAGTTGCAGTGCAATTGAAAAAAGCCTATGGAAAATCATCTCCAATTATCACCTAACTTACAATTGATAATTATTTGAAAGTGAGGTGTAAAAATTCACATGCAAATGAGCTAACTATCAACTTAATCAACGCTTAATTTGCAACTTAATTAATGGTAAACTACCATCAATATGCAAATGAGTCGATTGTCACTGATTTACGTAAATTAGGTGAATGTTAGTCGTAAGTTTGATGTAAGTTAATCTCTAATTATCACCTAACTTACTATTGATAATTAGTTGAAAGTTAGGTTTAAGTCAGATTTGTGACTTCTCAAAAATGACTCGCTTCTTTTTTGCTTCCCTTCACCCGGAGATTTTTGCTTCATCTTGAACTATTTTGTGATGGAATATTCATCTTAATTAGGATCTTTCAGAACAGACAACATTGAACTTGAACTATTGAAATTTCACAGCAAGAGGAGGGAAAACCCCATGATTCAATTGATGACATACAATTTCCTCCTTCGCGCACCTCCTTTTGTCGAAACTGTACCCTCCATCTTGGTCTTCAAAGTTTCCAAATTGACCTAGTTTTAAACCAATCAATGATTGACTCGCTAAACCAATCAGCGACGATGTCATCTCAATACAGATTTACATTATAAGCGTATGTCATCTTTGAACCCTGGGGTTTCTCCCCTCTTTTTCACAGCTATTCTATTTTGCAAATTTTTAAAATTCATGAAAAGCATGTGAAAACATCATTATTGCCATCAACATCTAAAATCAGAACACAAACATTAGACAATAATGTTACATAATAAGGCCGTAACAGATATAATCAAAAATATGTTTTGAAATGTCTTTGATCTAACAATCAATATTTAGAAGAGCACATTTGGATTACTTGTGAAATATAGGTAACCCATGTTAGTACCTAAATTGCATTCTAGGATTAATATTATATGATCTGATTCAAAAAAATTTTCAAATTCATAAACATTTCAGACAAAAGTGTGAATAAGATTTAACATACATTGTATTCATGTTCTACATACCCTTATAATAATGTTGACCTTTCTGCTTTCCTAGCCCCCCCATTCACAGCCCCTGGGGGTCAGGTCGAAAAACACAGAATATAGGCTATGTGAAATAGATATATGTTGTGAGTATACTACCAAAATTGCAAATAATAATATTTATTACTTTGGTTTAAAATGAAAAATGTTTCCACCATTCTTAAAGCAGGGGCCATTTTAAATATCCACCAATATACATCTTTCCAACAAATACGAAATAAATCCTTCAACTAACATTCGAGTTATCTTCCAGACAGACGGACGGACTGATGGATGGAGGACTTCACTATATCCTTACCGAACTTCGTTTGTTAGGATAATTTATACTAAGGAAACAAAATATGTCTACTTAAATGCAAGGAAACAGAATATGTCTACTTAAATGCAAGCTTATGAGGAAATGTGATACTGGTAACATAAACACTAGTTATTATTTTATTAGTGGGAAGCAAGTCAACTTCCTCTATTTGCAAGAAACAAGGAAAACATTAATCACCCTCAGACATAACATATGACATGACATACAGTAATTCATATAGTCTGATCTGAGAGCCATGCTCAATCAGAATTTACAAAAAACTTTCAAGGATATATTTCAATATACTGTTTTAAATTTTAAAATTGAGGAAGTAGTACGTAGATCCCTGCAACCAGTAACCTGGAGTCTGATTCTGAACTTTTCCGTAAATTTCTGCCGTAAATAATTTATGATAGGACAAGTACACAGAAAAAGTTTAAGTTCTGAATCATTCCCTAAACTTGTCCTAGTTGTCTTCTGTGTTGAACCCCAATGATCTTTCGAACACCACGAAGGGATAACCTCTCGTAATATCGGGATTGCTCCACTGAATTCTTGAAAAAAATTGTAGCACCCTTGAAAAAATTACTTATTTCAAAAATATCTGGAGATATATAGAATGCTATACACAAGCATGTAGCTATTGAAATTAGGTTTCTTAATCATCAAATTTCGTAATATAATAGTAGTACTTGCGTTCCACTACATAAAAATGTATATTACTTTGATTACGTCAAATCGTAAATTTACTACAGGTAAATAGGTTTCCTAGAAATATATGAAAAAATCGTAAAGGGGCAGGTACGTTATTGCAAGCTGAAAAAAGCTCAAGAGTGAGTCCCCTTGGGATCAGATTAATCAAAAAATGGAAATTTTAGGTCAAACATCTGGCATAAAAGCTACATTTTTTGAAAAGGTTACTGTACCAAAAGAATGGGGTTTTATATTACATATAATTAATCACCAATAAGAAAAAATAAGTTGGTGGGATAATCATGTTAATAACAACAGCAACATTTACTATACACATTATCATGCTCTTATCAAAAGCCAAACAAAAATGAAATCAAGTTTACATCCAATTTACACTTAGTTTACATCTGACCTTGGTGTATACTTAGATGTTAACTTTCCCTCAAGTAAATAGGTATTTACTAGCAGAAAGTATACACTGATTTACTAGGTGTAAACTTGACTTAGAATTTGTTAAAAGTGAAAACTAGGTGTAAACTATACTCAGAAAAAATCAAATATTGGTCAAGATGTAAACTAAGTGTATACTTGACTTTGGAATCCTGATTCCAAACGAGGTCAGCCTCTCTTTCAATCAAAGCTGGTTTAGCCATTTTGGTTTTGGTAAGTCTTCACAAAATCCTATAACATGGTTTTACTTTACTTAAATTTGGTGTCAACTTTACCATTAGGTATTAGTTGTACATTTGGTCCAGTTTCATCGTCATCGGTCATGTAGTTAGCTATTTTATTCAGATTCAAATTTCTTTTCAATATCTTGAATTATGATGTGACAATGACACTCATTTACATATTCACATTTTTCCCCAAAAAACATGTATATATGTGTCTTTGAGCCATTCAAAATGATATATAACTTATTCTAGGTGAAAATATTAAGATGGTATGTGTATTCAAATTAAATGGTGTGTAGTGAAAATATCAAAACAATCAGGTAAGCACAAAAGGTAAAGATTCAATTGATTCTCTCCCCCCATAGACAAGCAGTTAGCATTTCACGAATTAAAGATTGGTGAACTAAGATGTAAACTAAGTTTAAAATCTGACCAATCAGGTGTAAACTTAGGTGTAAATTAGCTCATTTGCATGTGAAATTGGTCACCTATTTACTGGGTGTAAACTAAGTATAAACTGGGTGTAAACTAATGTGTAAACTGAGTGCGAACTTGATGTAAACTAGATGTAAACTCAAATGTAAATTGGGTGTATACATCGGTGTAAACTAAGGTGTGAACTAGCTCATTTGCATATGAAATTGGTCACTTATTTACTGGGTGTAAACTAAGTATAAAATGAGTGTAAATTATAGGTGTAAAGCCTTTGTAAATTTTGATGTCTCAACTTAGTACACAGCACAGTAATGTTAACAAAAAAACTAACAATAAAAGTAAATATATAAATGTGTTTTTTTAGAAAATCAAACGATTGTAAACATGGTGTCACTTACCACAACCTTCAAGTTTTCCTTTGTCATTTGGAGATATTGCATGAATAATAGCACTATTCCCTTGGTTCATATGCTGGACACCATTTGAGTGAACTTGTGTTAAAAATACACTAACGCAAAGCACAACTCTATTGATTCCTGCCATGCCTGGTTGATCTGTAAAATACATACTGAAATATTAATTAATTTAAAGAATGGTTACAAGAACACAAATGTGTACAACATGTCCCCGCCAATGGGTGATCCTATGTACATCCTGAATGCTTAACAATAATCAGTTGAAAACACATGATTTTAAAAGAAAAATCCAATGTGGCCACCAAAGCTGGACTGCCCAAAAACTAAGTGGTTTTAGATTTTCATACAGAATCTTTCCTGAAGATTTGAAATCAATCTGTCAACTGGTTTGCCAGTAAACGTAACATTTGAAATCCGTCAAATAATTAACCTGAAAACACATAGACAAGACTTTGCAGACAAGATCAAGAAAATGGCTGCCTTAACATACCAAGAATGCCAAAAAACAAAAAAGTTCTAGATTTTCTTTCTTAGAATCATGCATCCCTGAAAATTTGAAATTGACCTGTCAAATGGTTTTTCTGAGACCCTTTATAGACATGATTTTAGGATGGAAAACACAAAATGGCCACCTTAAAAGTTACGCAGAATGCCAAAAAAGTATTGAGATCTAGATTTTCATACTACAATCACAAAATGTGCCCAATATAATGCTCTAAATGATACAATCTTTGAAATTTTATAAAATTGTCTGAAACAAAAATGGCGGTCATAAAAAAGAAAATAGATCGCTTTTCAAATCAGTTTTTTCATTTTTTTCTTTTACTATATATCAAATTTTCAAAGATTGTATCATTTAGAGCAATATATCGGGCACATTTTCTGAAAAATTCAAAAGATTCTGTTCAGTGACCTTTCCTACCTCCTACTTTTAGCTATTTTTCAGTCACATTTTCAGAGGGCTGAAAGCAGGCCTGTCAACTGTCGGGCTTGAGCAAGCTATTGGTAGCACTTTCATATTGGCACCCAGAAAAAATGCAAGGCAATTAAGATACAGATGGGAAATCAGTCTTATTAATTAGGTATATCCAATATATGTCTGAGGAAGATATCATTTTTTTGAAAGATGAATGATAATTTTTTTATAAATTTTCATGTATCGAAATATGCCTTATTCTCTATGTAACAAATTCCCAAGAAAAAATCCACATTTACATATATACTTCAAGCATGTACTTGAATAGAGTAAGTTAAAGTAATTTGACTGCTTTGGAAAGATTAAGGAATTTGCTTTAAAATGATATGCAACAAGTGTGTCCATAATAGTGTATAGAGTTTTTATAACCGCTAGTTGCACACAACAGTTGGTGTAACATTTCATTGTAAATTCTATGTTAAAAAAGACAGAATTTTTCAACATATTTTCCAATCTTTGCTTACTGTTCTTTTAGGATGATATCAAAAGTACTGAATGTTAAAATTCTGTCATTAAAAAAATTATAGAAAAGGCTGTAGTGGTTCCTGAGATATATGGCTCTCAAAATAACTAACTGATTTTCCGACACGCAAATGTCTTTTCCGAAGAGCATGTGTATTTTAAGACTGAAGTAATATGATACACTAAAAACTATTTTAAAACAAAATGCATTTAGTTTCTTGAATATTCAAAACAAATAAGTAGCTTTGAACTGTCATATATACCTGTAAAATCAATTTTAAAATTCCGACACAAGAAAAAAGTCCTTTCCGAAGAGCTCTTCGGAAAAGACAAACTCTGTCAAAACAGTGCATTTACCAACAATATTAAAGAGAAACACACTGGAATATATTTTCTAATGAACTTTTATACATAAAATATCTTTACTGAAGTAACTAAGACTTAAACAGGAACTACAAAAGTAAATGTGTCCTTTCCGAAGAGCAATCCAATCTCTGATTAGGAATGCAGTATTGGATGTCTATAACTAACTTTTGGGTTTTCGGAAAAGACCGACCCCACCGACCACCGACCGGTCGGTGTTTTCCATAGGTAGCCTCAAAACAGGGTTTGAAAAAATATGTAAAAGACCGACCACTATGTAAAAGACCGACCAAAAGAAAAAAGCCTGCCTTGACACTGACCAATTTTACAGGAAAACAATATTCCTGTTTCTGTCCGTACGTAGGCTATGTCTGTTCGCCGTAACCGGGCAGAAGAGAAAAATTCTAAATTGTTAATCACATTCCCGGTCTGGGCAAGTCCATGAAGTTCGTAAAGTTGTAGCTACGTTCATCCAGTTCGGACACAGTTTAAAACCAGTTCGGCAACGTTTTAAAGAACGCAGTGACAACTTGTTTGGTGTGATAGCTATATTTGTTAATTAAGCTGCAAACAGAACCGGTTGGTTTACTCACGACCTGAATTTACGCCTGACTGCACAACGCCGTAATACGTTTCTAGTAGGATTGAAGTTCGCCGTGTGTCCAGATCGTTCTGCGTTCTTTAAAAACATGAGTATAATGATTCCCGTTGACACCAACGTAAAATTGAAAATCTCCCGTTGTAAACAGGAAAATAAAGCTGATCTGATATCTGAAGTAGACTAAGTAGCGCTTGCTTTTTATGCGTGCTATATACATTACTGTATTAATTCATTGACTTTGCGTTCACGGTTACGTTGCGAAAAACATCGCTAGCTTAACCTCTCCAAAGTTTAAACGGACCCTAAACGGTTCTTAGTACGTCAAATCCGTTCGTGCACAGTTAAAGTCCGTTTTCGAGAACGTAGTGAGAACTAGTTTGGTGTGATAGTAGGGTAAGAGGAGTCCCACTTATTTGTTTTTAAGATTTCAAGATTTTAACTGCAGGAATTTCAGGTGAAATAACGTCCATTCAGAGTTTATTTTTGCTAAACAGCTAAATGTAGGTCCGTGATCGTTGGAAACGTCTCTGCAATAAACGATCAACCTAAAGAATACACTTATCTGCTTATAAGAAAGATTAATTACATGTAGTTGCTGAAGCACACATGCCGTTACTATGGCAACCACAGATACAATTTTTATCCAATATACCTCAGATTTTAACAAATCATAGGGGACACATTTGGACACCTTTTGGTGAATTTTCATGGAAAAAAGAGTAATAAATGTTGAAATGCCAGACTCATTCCTGGAACTTATGGACCACCCTGTAGTTTTCCAATTTATGTGTAATCACAAACCATTTTTATATTCATATTGGTTTCTAAATGAGGGGATAAGATTCAGGAACATGTGGAATCTATTTCAAGACACTTTTATGCTTTCTACACTTTCTACGCCGACCAAGCACCGACCTGTCACCTCGTGGACCCAACTGTGGAGAGTGACTGGTCGGTGGTCGGTCTTTTCCGAAAACCCCTAACTTTTCTACTGATGTCAGGCCTGTCAACTGTCCCGCAATTTGCGTATTTGTCACGCATTTGCTGAAGAATTTGAAGTCACGCTAGTTATTTTTGCGTGACAGAAAATGTCACGCAAATACGCATTTTACCTGGTAATTGTCAAGCAAAAATATTTCTGTAGAAAATTTTCTAAAAAAGATCGTCTACACAGCAAAAATACGAACGACGGGAAAAAACGTACGCATTTCGTTCGGACTTTTCACGCGAATTACGGATATGTCACGCATTCCGTTCGAAATTTTTCGTATCTACCCCCCGCGAGCGCGAAAAATTTGAGGTGTTAAAAATTTGGCAAGATGTAATAAAATTTAAACCAAGGTGTTCAAAATTTGGATCAAGGTGTTCAGATTTGGACCAAGGTGTCCACATTTTGAGGGGAGGTGTTCAACATTTCCAAGTCACTCATGTTAGGTGTTCCCAAGTTGACAGGCCTGTGATGTATAAAGGCATTAGCACAATGTTTACAAATATTACATTGAATCTTGGACAGTACTGTAAAACCCTTTAAAACACTCAAGTGTAAAACTGCAAATGAAGAATGCCGCAAATATAAAATTGTATCTTCATCACTATTTTTCTTGTGATAATAGGTTCAATTCACTGACAATTACCACCAACAATTGTGTCGTTTCATAGGCCTATGTGTCCCTGGCCCAGTAGCTAAAGAACTATAAGTACATTCATGATAGCCTTAAAGTGATGACTTAAATGATGTTCTGCCCTATTATCACCCATATATTTACCTATGAAAAATCGCAGATAATGTTGTAATCTGTGGTAAATCTTGAAACATAAATACACGAATAGAAACAAATGTACAATCACCGAAAATTGCTCCCACAAATTCAATCTATTTAACAGTATTTGGCAATACACTTAAAAATGTCCTTTCCGAAGAGCTTTGGACAAGTGTAGTTTAGTCATATTTTACACATATATACAGGCCTGTCAACTGTCCCGCAATTTGCGTATTTGTCACGCATTTGCTGAAGAATTTGAAGTCACGCCAGTTATTTTTGCGTGACAGAAAATGTCACGCAAATACGCATTTTACCTGGTAATTGTCAAGCAAAAATATTTCTGTAGAAAAATTTCTAAAAAAGATCGTCTACACAGCAAAAATACGAACGCCGGAAAAAAATGTACGCATTTCGTTCGGACTTTTCACGCGAATTACGTATATGTCACGCATTCCGTTCCAAATTTTTCGTACCTACCAAGGTGTTCAAAATTTTGATCAAGGTGTTCAGATTTGGACCAAGGTGTCCACATTTTGAGGGGAGGTGTTCAACATTTCCAAGTCACTCATGTTAGGTGTTCCCAAGTTGACAGGCCTGTGAAAGGGTTATTTCATCATGTTTATAGGGTCATTCTGACCAAGAACATTGTGACCCTGGACATGTAAATGGTATATGGAACTAGTTGAATTGACTGGATAGTCCTCCAGATAACTGCAAAGTTCTGATCAAATCTGATCAGCTCTGGAAAACTCGTTAGTGTTCAAGTTGACAGATTATTTAGATAAGATGTAAGTTATGGGTTTGTCTTCTTGGTTTTAGTCTAGAGTGAACTCACTGTCCTCCTCTCATAGACAGATTGCAGTCTGTTTCAATGTATTTTTAAAGGCAAATATCTAGTGTTCTTTGAAGTATTCAAGACTAAATAAGATGTTACTAGTATACAATACAGGTACTATACTACCCAGAGACAGATATAATATTTACTCCAGTTTCAAGTATTCAAATTCTAAAATGAAAAATAGAGTACCAAATTTCATTTGGTATAATTATATTTTTTGATAGAGACAATGGCCATTGTTAAAATTAAATAAACATGAGATTATTAATTTATTAGGGTAGTTTATACTTCATGCCGAGTTCACACTTCAAAACTAAGTTGAATTCAGATGTCATCTTGAAAATAGAATGAGCCTAAATAAATAAATTCCATAATGATCAAATTATGATACCTTTATTACTTAATGTAAGATGAGGTAATTTGAGTGTGAGGGAGGGTGGGGAAGTATTTTTGCATGAATTTAACAAATGAACCACCCCCTTCCAGTCACAAAATCCTGGCTATTGTAAGCCACATAATATGATGAAGGCAGATGAATATCAGTCAGTCAAGCTAGTTTTCTATCTAAATCACAATGTGATATTGTGCAGGTAGAGCTTTTTTTATTTTATTGCCTAATATATAGGAATTTGCAGGATATGAAGTTTAAAAATGGAAATGTCTATAGGGGCGTAGCCAGCTTTCAGTCAGGGCATGGGGGGGGGGTGCAATCGCCAAAAAAAATCCATTTTCACTCAGGGGATGTGATTGTGGCATAAGAATCCAGATTTATCTTGAATTTTACAAAAAATTATGCAACTTCCTTCATAATAAATTGAGCTAGAAGCTTCAAATAAAAAGCATTTAATTTAAAGCTCTTTTCTTCTCATGGTTATATTTTATTGGTAATGGGGGGGGGTGCGGTCACCAATTGCACCCCCCCCATGCCTATGTCTAATTGAAATGTAAAAACTCTGCATTGAACTACAAGTATTAAAAGTTGCTTTCAAATTCAAATAGCTGAATACAGATATTCTATCTACTAGTATACTCATATGAACAGAGATATAGAATTTCAAACTGAAACATTAAGATAATCTGTTCTGTCATTGAAACAATATTTATGGCCAGCTAAATTTCTGAGAATTTATTGTGTTTCATTTGTTTACTCCTGGACTATGTAGCAGGCCTGTCAACTTGGGAACACCTAACATGAGTGACTTGGAAATGTTGAACACCTCCCCTCAAAATGTGGACACCTTGGTCCAAATCTGAACACCTTGATCCAAATTTTGAACACCTTGGTTTAAATTTTATTACATCTTGCCAAATTTTGAACACCTCAAATTTTTCCTGACATATCCGTAATTCGCGTGAAAAGTCCGAACGAAATGCGTACGTTTTTTTCCCGTCGTTCGTATTTTTGCTGTGTAGACGATCTTTTTTAGAAAATTTTCTACAGAAATATTTTTGCTTGACAATTACCAGGTAAAATGCGTATTTGCGTGACATTTTCTGTCACGCAAAAATAACTGGCGTGACTTCAAATTCTTCAGCAAATGCGTGACAAATACGCAAATTGCGGGACAGTTGACAGGCCTGATGTAGGTCAAAACAGAACTCTGTTATCTTTGTTCAAAAAATGTCTAAAAAAGCAATATGTTGGGTTTGTGTAAAAAACCGGGTGACCGGGTAACCGGGTAACTGGGTGACCGGGTACTTAACGTTCCTAGCAGGGTTAGGAATTTTTATTTATTTATAATGTTGGATCTGGACGATACATGTACGTTATTTTCGACGTCACATTTTGAGGTTATTTCACATCGTAAGAACGTTTTGACAACGTAACTTAACTTTTAACGTTAAAATAACGTTGGTAATGAACCGATTTAGTGAGAACATATCATCATGTTTCATCATGTTTATGGTCATTCTGACCATTTTCATTGTGTTCCCGGTCATGTAAATGATATGTGGAACTAGTTAAACTGACTGGAGGTCCAAACAGAACTCTGTTACCTTTGGTTCAAAAAATTTTCAAAATCCAGCATGGTTTTGACATTTTTTGTTTTGTCATTTCCTTTTAACTTCCAAAGCAACTTAATGGACAAAATAGAATTTCTTACATATTTCTCTATCTTGTTAACTAGATAACAAATTATGATATTGGTGAACTCGACAGAGATTAACATAATATTATTTGAAGCGTTTTTCAGAAAATTTTGAAACCGCCATCTTGAAAACATGTTGTAATGTTGAACCCATGCAGTGATTATGTGTCTTGACATTTTACAATTTGTTGCTCCGCTGAGATTTTTACCTAAAAACACATCAAATACAATGTTGATTACCAATTTCGATGATAAAATCATTTGTAAACGTTATAATTCATGTTATGTCAAAGTTTTGGCGTTGTTGATTGTATTACAGATCGTATTAATTTCTGAAGCTTTCTGTGCCCCGGGAATTTTAGCAATATTATAACATTACGTCAGAGAGGTAGTGAACGTAGGCAACGAACAAAATGAATTTTGAGAATGCTAAATAAGGCTCTTTAGACTACTTAGCTTTTTGGCTAATTAAGCCTTAAAATTTAAGGTTCTCCACACGGACGTCAAGTAAGTTTCTGGCGAAAGCCGGAGCATAGATTATTTAAGAGGACTGGAAACAAGAATGACCTACCTTTTTATTTCCCGAATCTCACCTGAAATTAGATCATCTTGGTGACTGTAACCTGTATAATAGAGTCTCTTTGTATCACATCTGCCTCAATTTTAAAGTTTTATTGGTATTTTTAAAATGATTTCACTGTTTTTGTGGACTGGTACGATTGGGCCAAGCAAATGGCAGCTGACCTTTTCAAAGTACTTTTAGGACTAATTATCGCAAATGACAATAATTTTGGAAACAATTATATTATACTAAATAGATTACTAAGCATCTAAGGTAAGTAAAACTGGATGAACAACTGAGTCAATAGTGATAAATAGGCCAACAGGAGTTGGCAGATTTGAAATAGACTGCCATCTTGTTTCCAGTCCTTTATAATCTGCTCCAACTTTCGCCAGAAACTTACTTGATGTCCGTGGTTCTCCAGCCACTTCGTTAAAAAAACATCAATAATTTTTCTGAAATTACTTTCCTAACCTGTTGTGCCTTCATGTACAGTTGGGGACAAAAATAAATGACAGGTCGATTTTCGATCACCATTTCCTAATTATGGTGGTCTGAAAGCCCATAATTTCCAATATTGTCTAAATTTGTATATTTTACATTTTGTATAATCTCATCCACTGATGTATGGCCTCTTGTAAATTCTCTTATTTTTAACATGGGAAATCCTCACTTCAGCAAATCCACCTGTCATTTATTTATGTCCCCAACTGTATATAAACTCACCACTTTATATGCAATGCTTTTCCCAATCCCTTTCACTTACTACTCAATGATGTTGGATGGATCGTCTCTGACTTATTACTTCACGAATGAGATCAATCTCCAATAAACCGTTTGATGAACAGGTTATATTGGAATGTCAATCCAAATCGTAGATGATCTTGGTGGGTGTAATGATTGAAATGAAAGTGAAAGCACAAATTCCCGAGAAAAACATGATTGAAGACTTCCTGCTTCCTGGTTTAAACAGACGCGCACTTTCTTTTGCGCACAATGACATCATTTTTAAGCTGTCTGATTGGCTGTTAAGAATTGAAGAAAGAATGGCAGAAATAATCCCAACAAAGTTTGTTTCTCCGGTTAATTTGTATTTACTATGTCCGATATGTTCGAAACTACTAGAGGATCCAGTTATAAGTATTATGTGTGGCCACACTTTCTGCAAACGCTGTATTAGGGGGCAGAATGATAATGTAACTTTAAAAACATGCCCGATTGACAAACGTGAAATTCACAACAAGGATTTGATTGTCAACAAGTGAGTACAATAATCAAGACAACCAACACAGGCTGGTATCGAAAAATTTGTCCGCTGTGACGGAGCGTGCTATTTTGCATAGAAACACTAAAAAAACCACACAAATTATTTTTTTACTCATATGTTTCGCTTTACCATGGGCTTTCAATTACTAACTTCATGCATGGGTACATCATTTGCGGGTAACTTTAACTTTTGTTTGAAGTCCAACAATGCTAAGAGTAAAAACTATTGAAAACGGCGTCGGGGTATCATACTCCAAAATGTACCATTTCTTTTTAATGGTTCAATATAGCGACACGATAATGTTTACATATGTTTTCAGCATAATTCTGAAGGTATAATGATATCTTGATGTATTGGATATATTCGGAGTGGCTCCAGGACCGACAATTGTCGGTACTGGAGACTGTCCAGGGGTATTTGCTGGGGTACGGACAATTGTCGGCACTCTATCGTCAACTAGTAGTGCCAGATAGAGAACCGACAATTGTCGGTACGCAAGTGGCTGCTACGTGTTTTTGATAGAGAGCCGACAATTTCATAAATAAATGCACTACTTTTACTTTTAGAAATAACCTCATCACTGGTAGCCTAGTGGTTAGCGAGCACGACTCGAACGCACTCGGTCCCGAGTTCGAATCCCGGCAAGACCTACTTTTTTCTTTTGAGGGGGGGGGGGGCATAGTGCTTCTTTTGCAGTATGGAATCGTACAGGCATTAACTTGTAGTGAGCCATAATTTATTTCGACAAAAATTGATTCAACTTCCATCAAAATTGTCCTACAAGCTTCAATTAAAAAACATTTTAAATCTCTTTTCTTGTTCTATCTAATGGGTCGATATATACAGTTAGGGGAGGGGATGCTTTCGCCCCCGTCACTCTCTACCCTTACTACGCCATGGCACAGGAGAAATATCTCATTTGGAATATATCACTGTTTACTTTGCGTTTGGTAGCTCTCTCATGCGAGATGGAATCGTGGCCATTAACTAAGGGAGCCAAATGCAACTTCCATCAAAAATTGTGCTATAAGGTATGAGTACCGTAATCCAACACCAAATTCGAAAATTCATAACAATACTTTGCACATATGGCGTTCGTGACCAACTATGAAACGCTTACCCCCCATAGTGTTATATATCAAAATGCACCTGTCCATATAGGGGTTCGATTGACCTACATCAAATTATAGGGAGTCAGGTTACTTTTTGAGATATCAGCGTCCGTTTATTGTAACTCGCGTTTGCTACCACTTCCTCAATTCTGATATGACGGGCAAACGCGTAGTAAACATGCTCACGTTCGGAACTATTTTGACCTACATCGCTATTTTCGTAATTCAAATGAAAGTTGAACTTCTCTTTATTTTGACACCAAATAGTGGCATACTTAAGGTACCCTAGAAAGAGAAGCCAACTATGGGTTATTTAGAACGATACCACAGGTTTTTAAATGGACTATATAGGGGTTATACCTTTTGGCGGATGGATATGGAACCTCAGACCATAAGCTTCAAATAAAAAACATTCTAGATATTTTCTTCTATCTAATGGGTAGCAAACGCCCCTTTCTACGCCTGATCGGCTCAGGAGAAATATCCTGTCTGTTTAGAATATATATATAAGGGTTATGTACTGGGAGGTTTTGGATATGGGGTTTATCCAGAGGGAGATATGCATATCTACCTGAGGGACCATAGGGACCGAAGGTAGATGTGCATATCTCACGAGGGATGAACCCAATATCCAAACCGACCGTACATAACTGCTTTATCCTATACCAAGTAAGTTTTCTCATTTTCTTTCAATTTTTTTTATTTTTTCAATTTTTTCACATTTTTCTATTTTTTTCTTTTTTCAATTTTTTATTCTTAAAATTTTTTTTCACATTTTTTCTTTTTTTTAATTTTTCTTATTTTTTCAAGTTTTTTTTCGAAGCGGGAAGATATGCCCTGGAGCGGGAGATATGGCGGGAGATATGGAAGTTCAGGATATGGAAACCTCAAAATCAAGATACGGGATATATCTTACCAACTTATCTCCCTAAAACTCTACTTGGCATTGGATAAAGCCGTTTACTCTGCATTAATAGCTCTCTAACGTCTTACTTGTTCATGTTTTTTATTGGGCCTTTCAACGTTTACTACCATTCCCTGTTCCCAGGCTACCATTTTTTGACTGGGTTTGGTAATCCCCGGGTAACCGGGGCTAATGCCCTCCCCGGGTTTTGCACTTGTTCCCAAAATATCCGTATGATATCTGAAATATCCCCCCGCGCATTGCGCATGCGCCAGAAAATTCGAAAATTAATATTTGTCGGTCCTCTAGCGTGTAAACACAGCATATCTCCCGTACCGAGAATTTATTTGTCGGTCCTCTAGCGTGCCACCACATCAGAGTCTAGAGTACCGACAATTGTCGGTACTGTAGCCTTTACGTTTTTTGTCAGCTGTGACGGAGCAGTTTTAATGAGAACTACGTTAAGAATTTAAGATTCAAATTATATCTTTTAAAAGTACCCTTAGAAGAGAAAAAGTCACAAATCACTTTCCTAAATTATGACAAGTAGCCTCTGGGAGATCTGGTATTAACCTTTTGCCACATAATATTACTGTATATAAGATAATCCCAATACAGATTTAATATGTAATTATTTGAAATTCATGGAATTCATCGTTTTGCAGACTAAAATTATAAAAAAAAGTCTTGGTAAACGTGCTGCACTGTAAAACCTGGATCAATGAATATCTTTCTCTTGTGAACACCTCTTCTTATCAAATATTCCTCTGACCTCTGTATGAAATTGCCTCTATGGAGTGAACATCTACCAAATGGGAACACATTTTTGGGCTCCATACATGTATGTGTTCACTGTACACATGTTTTACTGTAGTTGCATCAGATAGCCATAACTCTTCAAATAAAGAACAATCTTAAAGTGTGCGCCAAAGTTTAAAAAAAATGCGCAGGCGCAGCGCTCTCACTAACCTATATAAAGACTAAAGAGATTACAAGGTACAGGCTTCAGAGGTAAGTCAGGAAAGTGAACAATTTTCGTCCCATGTTGATTTCCCGTTTAATCGTAAACAGGCAAGTTTCACCATTGAAATTGAAAATTACTATTAGATATACTTTGTAGATGTTATTAATGAGCTAATGCATCAATCAAATGGCTTATTTTGAACATATAAAAAGTATTTGTGTTTTGTTTCCCAGGGAATCATATTCCCATGTAGTATACACATAAATAGTGTACATTATGTAGAACTTGAATAGCCTGGTTTATATAATATTGAAGGGCATGCTGATTGTACACACGAGTACATGCATGAAGGCTTAATATTGATATTGCTTGCATACCTAAATAAAAGTAAACTCTTCTAATCCCCTAATGTAAACACGGCGGTATACATAGTCCGATTTATCGCAGACTTTAAAATCAAATTTTGCATTTTCGTACTTCAAGATACACTCAACTTACCTTTTGGAAAGACTAAAGAGGGTAGAACAATTCACAGTCCATACCATTATATGTATTTAGCTTCATCTTCAGCAAATCATTTTACTTCAAATAATCAAGTTACCGTAAAAACATATAGAAAGGCAAATACCCTATACTGAAATGAAGTTGACTATCATTTTCATGATCATGAGTTACCATGCATAAGTTGGATCGCAGTACAAACTGAGAAAAGAAGCTTAAAGAGTGGTCGTATATACATCTCAGAATTTGAATTGTGTACTTTTATTACCGGTACGTTTCATTTTTCAGAATACTTTACGAAAGAGATTTGACACACTCGCTCCTCTAAAGTGTAGTTGTAAAGAGATATATTATAAATCTAAATTCTTAACGTATTTCAGATTTGAAACTGCTCCGTCACAGCCGACAAAAAATGTAATTATTATTTTTTATAAAAAAAATTAAAAATACTCAATACATCAAGATATCATTAATACCTTCAGAATTATGCTGAAAACATATGTAAATATTATTGTGTCGCTATATTGTACCATTAAAAAGAAATGAAAGAAATGGTACATTTTGGAGTATGATACTCCGACGCCGTTTTTAATAGCTTTTACTCTTAGCGTTGTTCGACTTCAAACAGAAGTTAAAGTTACCCGCAAATGATATACTCATTGCATGGAGTCAGTAATTTTCTTTGATACAGCAAAACATATGAGTAAAAAATGAATTGTGTGGATTTCCTAGTGTTTCTATGCAAAATAGCACGCTCCGTCACAGCCATCCTCCGATCACAGGGCTTCAAAATCCAGAATATCTTCTTTCTTTTTACCCCCTGCTTTAACCAAGTTGGACGCGCCCGATTAAACTGAATCACGTGATCTTATTATGCGCCGATGACGTATACATGATTTCTGTCGCAGTGTTGCGACAGCCAATCAAATTGCGAGTTCTTAATCGGGGAAATGCTAACTGCTTATAGCAGGGGGAAGAAGGAGGTACGGATTCTGGACACCTGCTTAGGAGGATGCGTCACAGCGGACAAATATTTCGATACCAGCCTGTGACCAATGGTGTAGCATTTTATCTACTTTGTTCAGGGTATGAACCTGGCCAGACCAAAAATTGATTTTTCTGAAAATGTTCAAATGCAAGACTTATGCTTGGCCCGGGGCACAGGGGCTTGGGTCGGGCAAGCCCTCCGATGAGTGTGTACTTCTTATTAAGAGTATAAGGGAGGTCGTTTTTGATGCTTCCTGAAATTTGTAGAAAATGATTGTTAGATATATCCAGTAAAAACATAAGGAATCCTTTTAATAATCGACATGCTGATTCAAACAACACTAGTTACCCAAAATGGTAGCAAGTAACATGCCTACATAAAATTTCATCTATTGTTTGTGTGGAGAAAATAAAGTTATGTTTTTAAGGAAAAGTAACGTGATTTAGAAAGATTACTCCTCACGAAAAATGACTAAGTCCAAAGTACGCTTTTTCAAAAGGATTATCTGACCATTTTTCAAACAGG